GAAAGGAGGGAAAGGGAAGAAAAAGAAAGAAGGGAAAGGGAAGGAAAGAAAGGAATGGAAAGAAAAAAAAGGAAAGGGAAAGAAAGAAGGGAAAGGAAAGAAGGGAATGGAAAGAGAGGAAGGGAATGGAAAGAAAAGAGGGGAAGGAGCTTGGCCAGGCCAGGGCTGCCCCCCCAGGCAGACTGGCCTGCAGGAACTCCGCCGTCTGCTGGGGCAGTTTGGTTCCCACGAACTTGAAGTGCTCCCTGTGGAATCTGCTCTCCAGGTGGGAGGACATCTCGTCGTCGTAGAACGTCCGGTACTTGCACAGGGAGCACACGAACTGGATCCTGCCGGGAAGGGGAGGGAAATTCCAGCCAAAATATCCCGCCCTGCCTCCTCCCCTCCCACCGGATCCCCCCCGGAACGGGCGGCGGGGGAAACTCTGGGGAGCCCCCAAGCCTTTAGGGGGTGTTTCCAAGGGGGTTTTCCCAAGTTTTTTTATCTTCCAAGGAAGGATGGCAGGAGAGCCCAGGGTCTCCAGGCACTTATAGGATGTTTCCCAGAGGTTTTCCTAGTTTTTTTTTAGCTTCCAAGGAAGGATGGCAGGAGAGCCCAGGGTCTCCAAGCCTTTATGAGATGTTTCCAAGGGCTTTTCCCAGTTTTTTTACATTTTAAGGAAAGGTGGCAGGAGAGTCCAGGGTCTCCAAGCCTTTATGGGATGTTTCCAAGGGGTTTTCCCACTTTTTTTATCTTCCAAGAGCCCAGGAGGGACACACAAACACTGGGACAACCGGGATTGACAGGACAGACCCAACCCCCAATCCCTGAGGAGAAAACCAGCCCCAACATGGAAAACAACCCCTAAAGAAAGAAAAACAACCCCTGAGAAAGGAAATACTCCCCCAGAAAGGGTTCTGGGAGCCGTTACCTCTCCACCATCCGATCCCGGTGCCGCTTCTTTTGCCGGTCCTGGGTTTTTTTCCCCACCTGGAGTTTCTGTTTGATTTGGCTGATTTCCTCCTGGATGCTCAGACCTCCTGAGGGGAAGAGAGGGGGGAAAAAGAAAAAAAAAAAAGGGGGATTTCAAAGGAATTTCGCTCCAGCCCAATTGGCTTTTCCCAAAAAAAAACCCCCAAAAAAAAAGCCTCTCTGGGCCGAGGCTGGTGGGTGGGAGAGGCAGGAAAATCCCAGCGCAGCTTCCCGGCCCTTCCTCGATCCCAACGAGCGCTTTAAGGAGGTTTTAAGGATTAATTAGTGATGGATTTGGTGGTTTTAAGAGCTAATTAGTGACGGATTTGCTGGTTTCAAGCACCACCAGCTTGGACTTTTCAGCCTCGAAGCGAACACGGGCAAGAGGATAAAGTTGGGATCTGGGAAAAACGCGGAACTTTGGGATGGAGGAGCTGCTGGAGCATCCCAGGATCAGGTTTATGCACCGAGGATCCCACCAGGAGGTTTCTTCCCTGCCTTCCCCCTTTTTTTCTCGGGAATTGTGATGCTTCTCCCACCGGTCCCACCTCTCCAAGATGGGAAATTCCATCTTTTCCAGCCCCCAAAGTCAAACCTCGGGCCCAGTGGGAGCTCAAAGCTGATTCCCAGCAGCTCCACCACCCTGGCCTGGGGATCCTGCTCTTCCCTCGCAGGGACTTCCAGCATTCCCTGCTCCCAGGGGATGGGATTCGCCTGGATTTACTGGGATATCCCCTCTGGAAGCCCCAGACAGAGGGGGGTCTTGCTCCAGGAGGAGCTTTGGAGCTGAACTCGACTCACCTTTCTCTGAGTCTCTTCCTTCTTCATCTTCCCCTTCCTGAAAACGCAACATGGGGAGGTTGAACCCACCTGGAGGGTCTGGGAGCTGCTCCAGACCTTTCCCTGTTTGCCCCCCAGGGCGCCACTTCCCTGGGATTTGGTCTCTCCCAGTCCCTGAGCGCAGGGATATCCAGTGCAGGGAGCTGATTTTTGGGGGGTTTTCCATAATTAAGGCGGTGGGGGATGGGAATTTGACCGCGTTTTGAGGCCGTGGTTGGTGGGGGAGGTTGGGAATCCCCTGGCACTCCCACATTTCCCTCCATGGAACTTCCATCCACTCCTCCCAGCTCCTCCAGCCTCCACCCCCCAACTCCCTTTGGGAACAACCCAGGGGGGGGAATCTGCCCTCACCATCTCCAAGCAGATCTTTGACCCGCAAGGAAAGTCATTTTTAAAGTCATTTCCAAAGCCATTTCCAAGCTCTCCTTACCCCTCTGGATCCCTCCTTCTCCTCCTTGTCCCCCGACTCTCCTTCCGTCCCCTCCTCTGGAAGGAACAACACCCCGAGCGTGACGAGGAGGCCCCTCCGGACCCCACCTCGTGTCCCCCCAGGGGGCGGTGGGAGCCGGGATTTGTCCCCCCCCAGGGCAGGGGAGGCCACGAGGCCGCCGTGCCCTCACCGTTGTCCGAGTCGGAGTTGTCAGACCCGTCCGTCTTGGCCGCTTTGCTGTCCGGCTCGTCCGAACCGCTCGGCTGCTTCCGCTTCCTGCCCGGAGCCTCCCGGCGCAGCCTCCTCCTCTGCAGCTGGGACAGGGCACAGGGCTCAGGGACCCACGGGGGGCAGCTGGGACAATCCCCTGCCCAGGGCATCCCAAAATCCCACCCTGTGCCTGAGAGCATCATCCAAACATTCCCCAGGCTCTAAAATCCTGGAATCTGGGCATGGATCCGGCTGCAGGGACCCACGGGGGGCAGCTGGGACAATCCCCCGCCCAGGGCACCCCAAAATCCCACCCTGTGCCTGAGAGCCTTGTCCAAACACTCCCCAGGCTCTAAAATCATGGAATATCCTGAGCTGGAGGGACTCACAGGGGTCAGCCAGGTTAATCCCTGCCCAGGGCACCCCAAAATCCCACCCTGTGCCTGAGAGCATCATCCAAACATTCCCCAGGCTCTAAAATCCTGGAATGGGGGCATGGACCCGGTTGCAGGGACCCACGGGGGGCAGCTGGGACAATCCCCTGCCCGGGGCACCCCAAAATCCCACCCTGTGCCTGAGAGCATCATCCAAACATTCCCCAGGCTCTAAAATCCTGGAATGGGGGCATGGACCCGG